CGTCGCGTCCCCCGCACAGACGCCGCCGGAGGGCCGGGCGCGAGCGCGGGCGGGCGAGGAGGGTCCGCGCCTTCACGCCGGGTGTTTACATTAGCCCAGGTAACGCCTCCTGAGCCTTTTTATCTTTTTCGGCTTCAGCAGGGCTACTAGAAAAATTTACATATACGTGGGCGGGATTTCTGGAATCTCCTCCCCCAAAAAGCAATGATAAAACGGGTCGGGATGGTTAAAAGCTGCCCTTCTAGGACTCTGGACGTTGACCAAAGGCATACGACCTTTGAGAAACACTTATTCGAAAAACAAACAAACAAATAAATAAATAAAATGAGGACTGAGTGAGAACAGTGGGAGCCTGTGCGGTTTTCTGCGGGACTGCTTGCACTCCCTCCCAGGAGACCTAGGTTGGCCTGGAGGACCCGAACCTCCTACCGACGCTGGAGGAGAAGGCTGGCCTGATTGGGGGAGGGGAACACCCCCTCCCCCAGGGTGTTCGCGGGGCCCCCTGCAATCACAATCCTGGGCGACCGGCTAGAGCCACATACCCTCAGCCGCCTGGGACCATGATACTGTTGGAGCGAGCAACAGTGCAGCCGGAAATGGAAGGAGAAATTCAGTAAATAGCCACAGCGGCCTCGCCTCGCTGCCGGAAGTCCCAGTAGTCCGTGATGCTGTCTACACGCTGAGGAAGACCCGCGATGGTCCCAGCTACACGCCGCTTTGTGCAAAAAGCAAAAAATCCAGGGTCACATTGTAAGCTGCTTGAGCTTTGCACCTATACACAAAAACTCACAGAGCTGTCAGCGAAGGGTACAGACCTTACTGGTTCAATAGGTTTAAGCAGAGTCTCTAACCAATAATTGGCTGGCCACCAAACTATATGGAGCCGGGGCCAGCCTTAGGAAAGCTAGGCTTACATGTAAATATATTTTTAACTCTAGCAGAGATACCAGTGGCCACACACCGCTGAGGGCACAGACTCCACAGAATTCGTCCAGGCTAGGCGCTGAGCAAACAAATTACCAGCTCCAATAACAACACACAGTGAGGGGGACGGGGTCAGAATCCAGAGCTTCTACATTATCTAAAATGCCCAGTAGTCGAAAAGTTATGAGACATTCCAAGAATCAAGGAAAAGTGGTTCATACAAATCGTCTTCGAGGGGGCTGGACTGTCCAAGAGAAGAAGAGAAGACACAATACCAAAATCATGAAAGAGGAGACACAGTACAATGGACCTTAAGAAGAATCAAAAGAGAATACTGAGAAAAACTGTATCCGCAGAACTAAATTAAATGCACTTGATGCATTTCTAAAAAAATACTTTACTGAAACTGACTCAAGAGGAAATGAAATCTGAATAGATCTACAACAAGTAAATGAATTAGTGATTTCAAGTATTCCCACAAAATAGCATCCAGGCTCAGAAGACTTCAGTGAGTTCTGAGAAATTATAAAAGATTGATACTAATCTTTTACAAACTTTTCTTAAAAAATAGAGGGGATAATATGACCCAACTCATTCTATGAGGACAGTGTTATCCTGATTCCGAACCAGTCAGAGGCATTATAGGGAGAGAAAACTACGTGCCGCTATCCTTCATGAGCATAGTCACAAAAATCCTCAAGATGACAGCAAACCTAATCCAGCACCGTACATATATAAATTGTATACCACGGCCAAGTGGTCTCTATCCCAGGAACACAAGGTTCGTTATCTGAGAATAGGTGTAATACTCCATCTTAAGAGAATTAAGTATAAAACTCGATTATCTCAACAGATGCAGAGAAAGCATTTGACGAAATCCAACACCTATTTATAATTAAAAAAAAAAAAAACCCAAACTGAGAACAGAGGGGCCCGTTCTAAACTCGAAAAAGAGTATCTACCAAAAAAAAAAACCCCACGGCTAAGATCATACTTGATGATGAAAGACCGAATGCTTTTTTCCTAAGATCAGGAACGAGGCAGGGATGCCTGCTCTCCCCAGTCTTACTCAGAATGGTCCTGTTCTAACCAGCACAATAACACAAGAAAAATAAATACAAGCATATAGATAGGAACGAGAGAAATGTCTCTTTTTGCACATGACATAATTGTCTACATAGAAATTCCCAAAGGATCTACAAAAAAAACCCCACGACAACTAACAAATGAGTTCGGTCAGGTCAGCACACGCAAATCGATCATATTTGTACGTACTAATGACAAATGTGAAAACCGAAATTGCATTCTCAACACCATTTACGATTGCTCCAAAGAAAACGAAATACTTCGGTACAGATCTAACAGTATGGAGAGGATCCGTAGGCCAATTATTACGAGATTCCCAAGAATGAAACCGAGGAAGACTTTCTTTCATGGTATGAAGAGTCAAACCGTGACCGTGGGTCAGAGGGCTCAGTGTCGTAAAGGCACGAATTCTCTCCAAATTGATCTTTACATTTAGTGCAAATCTATCAAAAATCCAGCAAGGTTTGTGTGAACGAGAACAAGCCCGGAAGAGCTGGATCCGTTTTGAAAAAGAAGCATAAAGTGGACAGAATCCCTGTCCCTGGCGTTAGGGCTGCCTCCATAGCGACGGCGACACCGGCTTTGCCATCGCCAGTGGCCACAGCCGCAGAACAGGGAACCCAGCAGTAGGCCCACATGGCTATACCTGGGTGACCTTCAGCAAAGGCGCAAAAGCAGGGGGTCGAGAGAAGGAGAGGCTTTTCCAAAAATGTGGCAACTGAGCATCTACAGAGGAAAAAAATGGACCTCAGCCTCAACCCTCACACAAAAGCTCACTCAAAATGGGGCATGAGCTTAAATGTAAAAAGCAAAACTGTGCATATTAGAAAAGTGTAGAACGTCCGTGAGAGCGAAATCATGTTGCATGGAAAGGGCAACTTGAAAAATTGAACCTCACTACAATGAAAGACTTTTGCTACGTGGAAGATTGGGAGAAAAGGCTGAAAGGGCGAGGCACGGACTGGCAGAGATGACCTGCGAGACGTCCGGCCGAGCGAGGGCTGGTGGCTGGAAAATATAAAGCACTGCCCAAACCCCAGAGAGCACAATCGATCCGTGTGAAAAGTCAAAAAGGCTCGCCAAAGATGACCCTATAATTATAGAAAGACGCCGTGAATGCATAGTCTCTCCCTCATAGTTGACTTGAAAAGCGAGTATATGAACGATATGCACACAATCGAACGGTCGGGCCGATAACATACAGAAATGAAACACACTTGCCCATCGTAGCTCAAAGGTGGGTGGGGACAAACTCTGTGGACTACCGGGATGACCAGATGGAAAGACGAATCCATAAGGACAAAAGAAGGGAGCGGAAATGGCGAGTGAGACGGTTCCGTGAGCGCCACCCGGAAGCGGGCCCCTGAACCGCCCCGCCTTCTCCCAGCGTCCTTAGCGGCAGCCGCGCCTTCATTCCCGATGCCGGGAATTAGGTAACGGAGGTGGAACGTGCGGTCCTCACAACGCGCCGACCACCGAGAGGGACTCGGGAGGAAATCACACACCTGAACGGACCCGTCACGGGTAGGGAGACTGAACTATCGCAGCCACGCCGCACAGCATGAGAAGGGGACCGAGCGCCGGTAAGCGCAGCACGCGGCTCTCAAGGAAATCACGCTGAGCGGCAAAGCCAGTCTCCACGGCGAGGGCGGTTCCGTTCACCCAATGGCCACACTTATAGCGACGGGGAACGGAGTAGAGATGCCAGGGGCTGGGGCTGGAGGCGCAGAGAGGGAGCCCGCTAGCGATGGGGCCGTTGCCTCGATAGTGGCGGGGGCTGCACGAATCCACACGAGACGAAATTTCGTAGAACCGCGCGCGGATGCACCGAGGTGAGACCGCTGAGCTCCGCACGAGCTCGGCGCGCGTGTCCGTGCCGGCTTCGGGCTTGTGCCCTGCGCAGACGAGATGCCGTCACCCGGGAGCTGGGCAAAGGGGACACAGAACGTCCCGCACTTTTTTTTTTTTTTTTGCAACTTTCTGTAAATCTTTACATAGAGTTTTAAAGTTTAAAAAAAAAAATTCACAATAGCCAAGACACGGAAACAACCTCAGTGTCCACCGACGAATGGTGAGTGGATTAAAAAAATGGGGTATGAAGAAGATGGAAGTCCTGCCACGTTGTCTGGGACAACGTGGACGGGCTCAGGTCATTGTGCTGAGTGAGAGGAGTCAGACGGAGAGGACTTTGGCTTGATCTCACTTAGACGTGGAGCCTAAAAAAGCCAGACTCCAACTAGCGCAGTGGTTGCCGGGGGCTGGGAGAAGGCAGACGATGACCAAAGCTCTAGGACAGATCGGTTCTGGGGAGCTGGCGGGCCGCCCTGTGCCCTTGAGAGCCTCTAAGGGAGTAGCTTTCAAGTGTTCTGACCGCCATCACCCCGACAAAGGTGTATGTGAGGTGAAGGACATGCTCACTAGCTTCACCTGTGTGAACATCTGGAACGCACATGAGTCGGATCAAACCATCACTGTCCAAGCCGCACACAGAGGGAAAACGAAACGAGTTTTGACACAGACATACGCACCGGTGAAACTCTCATGAGCGCAACAACGAAAATACCGGTTACCCCAGGGTTTCCTCGTACCCCTTGGCGAGCCCTCCCCTCGCCCGCCTCCTTGTCTGTAGCAAGCCCTGATCTAGTTTCTGTCACCGAAAGTTCGTTAGCGTCCTAGAACTTCACAGAAACGGAATCGTCACGTGTGCTCTCGCTCGGTCTGGTGTCTCTCGCTCGGCGTCAGAACCCCCCGCACGGCCGTGTGTGTCCACGGCTTGCTCTTTTGTGTTGCCGGTGGCGGCCCGTTGTACAGATGGGCCGCGAGGTGCCTGACCGGACACCTCGGCTGTCTCCGATTCGGGGCCGTTGCTCGCAGAGCTGCAG